ACTTAGCATAGATAAAAAATTGGATATTTCCGACAGAAAACACTTGAAATAATAAAGTATTTTATTATTATTACCTGAGAGTACAGAAACACGGATAGGAAATTATTGGGTTTAGTGGATGCTTTCAAAAAAGTACTATACAAGATCCGATGGTTCCATCCAGAAAACATGTAACCAACAAAGGGTTTTTACTTCATAAAAAACGGATGGGCAACAAGGATAAAAAATATTTCCAGTAAAGGTTTTTGCTAGGGACAAGAAACTATTTTTGATTCTTTCAAATCAACAACGAAACGTTTGAATGTTTCGAAATAGATAAAATAGCTTTTTTAGAGCTAACACGCATAAACTGGCGTTTAGAGTAATTATTGATCAAACATAGGGCATTTGACATCTGATTTTAAAGAGAAATATCTGCTTTCCAACTGAACCTGTTCATATGACAGAACAGAAGAGCTCTGATTTAAAATATATTTTCAAGTTTGTGATAAAGACAATTGTGAAACTCTATGGAATCATTCATCTTGAAACGTATTTTTCTTCTTATATGATTTTTTAGTATTTTGTTGTTTTAGAAATGGGCTGTGTACCATCACATTCTAGTTTATATTTGACATCAAAACATAGATCAAGAGAAGAAATTCATATTATTGTAAAAGATATGTGGGCAGAAGTATGTTCACGATATTATAAAGAAGTTGGAATAAAATTTATGGTTTGGTAAGATTAGTCTTCTAGAAAATTAAGAATCTATAGTGCTAGAGAACTATCCTTTGTTTAAAAAAAATTTGATTTAACATCACTTCTTTTTTTTCTCTGTTATATAGTCTAATGATGGATCATCCAGAATTGAAATCATTGTGGATATTTGCTGCAAATTTGAATACAGAATCCGAAATAAGAAGTAATACACAAGTGCGTTATCATGCTTCGAAAATTATGAACACATTAAATGTTGTCATTCAAGATATTCATAACGATGAAAAGCGAAAGGAAACACTTTATGCA